CCCCAAAAAAAACCGGACTCGACTCCCGGGACCTGGGGCTTTGGGGCCCTCTGGACGGGCTTTGAAGCGGCCACCGGGCCTCGCAAGGCGTTTTGTAAAGCCTTCCCAGCACACTTAGGGCGATCAGGGGGGTCATCGGAGACGTCCCAGAGACCCCCAAGACAGCACAAGAGCGCTCCAAGAGTGACCGACGTGACCTCAAGATGACCCAAGAGGCCTCCAGGACGGCCCCAAAGAGGCCTCCAAGAGCACTCCCAAGAAGGCCCCCCGAGGCAAAAACCATTGATTTTCTGTGGGTTTTTGGTGAATTGTGGGGTTCTCCTCTTTTCGGCTTCCCGACGCTCCAAGACGGCGGTCTTCTGGGCGTCCGAAGCCGCCTGGGAGGTTCCCAAATCGCCCCACAACCATCCGAAAGGGCTTCCAGGCAGTCCAAGGAAGCCCCAAAACGGCACAACACGGGTCCAAGATGGCCCTCAGAGAGCCCCATGGCGACCCAAGATGGCCCAAAGACACCCTCCGAAGAATTCCAAATCGTGATTCGGTCGTTCAGGGAGACGGCGGTTGGAGGCAGGGTGCCCCGAGGACCCCCCCGGAGGCCCCCAGAATACGCCCAGGAGTCCTCCAGAAGGCCTTACGAAAGCCCGAAACAACTTTTGTGAGGCCCCTAGAGGCTCTCCAAGGAGGAGCCTCCGCAAAAAAGAGCTGAGGAGGATGGGGAGAATGCGCAGGGTATGGCGAACATAAGGAGCAATAACCATGGAGGAAGGATAACGAATAACATCATTATAGCGGCGATGCCGGAAAAAAGGCAACCAGGAGTTATCGCTAAATTGTCGGCTTGCCATTCCGCCTGCATGCCAAACTTCAAGGACCAAGGTGTTTGGCGCGAAGCGCCACTGCAGTCTTGTATATATATATATATACATTATATATATGTGTGTGTATCCGACTACACGTAAGGAGTGACCTTTGGTTGGTGTGACTTTCGGTGCGGGCCCACCATCGCCGGACGCGATGCGGCGGTAGCGTCTTGCGCGCTTGTGCTTGGCCCCCACGAGGCCCCCAAAAAGCCGCGGACCAAAGGTCACTCGTATCTAGGGTCACTCATGCGTGTAGTCGATGCAAACGAATGCAACTCTGCTCAATACCCTCTTCTGGTATATTACTCCGTGCTCTCTCGTCTTGACTTTGCTCGCATGTGCAGTCTGTGTATGTGTATACACACCGATAAAATCAACCACTTTCTCTTTCTCTTCGTATCCCCTTGATCACTTCATATCATCCCTCTCAACTCGATCTCCTCTCTGTTCTCTTATAGATCCGCTCTGGTATTTCTGCCCAGCCCTGCCCTCTACTCTGTGATGTGTACCCTCTCTTCGGGTGAGAGGAGGACGGAGGAGGTTGGAGCGCCCGAGGGGACACTCCGGGAGACCACCCCGTACCCTCTTACTCTCTCATTCCGACCGTGGTCGCAGGAGCTCACCAAACATAGCCAAGACCTTGAGAAATTGGGCCCAGAGACCCAGACCTGGGAAACCGGGCAACCAGGACACCGGCCGTCTGCCAGATCTCGGCGGCGGGCGAGGGGCGGAAGTGGGAAGAGAGAAGAAGAAGTCCCCAGCCCTTCTGAGAAGTCTTCTGAGCCTTCCTCGAAGACAGAAACAGCTCCTCAGAGAAGGCCCGAGGGCTTCTGAGAAGGCCCGAGGGCTTCTGAGAAGGCCCTCTTGGACCGTTTGCGGGTCCTCTCGGGGGCCTCTCGGGCCGTCTGGGGACGATCCTTGGGGCCTCCTGGGCCGTTTTTGAGCCGTTCTTGGCCCGAGAAAGCGCGACCCCCCCAAACCTGCAACAGAACTTGGAACAAAAAAGCATGCTTTTTGGCCCCAGGGGACCCTTCTCCTCCTCGCCTTCACCCCCTCGCTCGCCGTCGGAGATCGGCGTGCGAGCCCTGCCGCCGAACGACTATTATGTGGGCGGGCCCGGGCGCCCGGCACCGGGAGCGAGCTCCGCCGCCTGCCGGCGGCGGCCCCGATTCAAGCGGTGGCGGAGCGTCCCGGCTCGCCGATAGCCTTCTGTCGGGCGTGTCCCCCTGCAGGGGGATTTTCGACAAAAAATACAAGATATCCCCAAAATACCCCCAAAAAGGTCAAAGGATACCCCCAAAATAGTCCCCAGACCATTTTTGGATTATTGTTGGACTATGTTTGGGGTATTTTGTATTTTTCGTCGAAAATTCCCCTGTAGGGGGACAGGCCCGACTTCTGCCCTACCAAACCAAGCTTCTAAGAACCCTAACGCTCTCTAGGCCTCCTGGATGGGGTCGGAGCAGACGGGGTCGGAGGATCGCGCCGCATCGCCGATGCCTCGCCGATGCGGCTCGATGCGGATCCCGATCTTCTCCACGCCGGCGTCGCCGATGCATCTCCGACGTCGCCGATGCATCGCTGGTGCATCGCCGATGTATCGCCGATGTATCGCCGATGCGGCGCGATCCTCCGACCCCATCTACTCCGACCCCATCTAGGAGGCCTCTACGATCGGATGTCGCCTGAGGGCCTGGCCGCTCGCGCACCAGATCCGACCTTTCTCCGCCTCGACGCGGCGCGCGAGGCAGCGCCCGCCAAACAAGCGTGTACGCCCTGCCTCGGACAGGAAGGCACCTACGGTTGGTTCGTGCGGCGTCGGCGCGCCCCAAGGTTTTTGACACCGAGTCGATCGCGACATCCAATCGTTCTAAGAACCTTTTGTGGTTCCCACGAAATGTTCTTAGAACAGTTTTGGCGGAGCCTGTCTTGTTTCATCACATCGGGCTTATGTTCTACGAACACTGTTTTGTTCTGAGAACATTTTGGGGCTCCAAGAGCATTTCGTGGTAGGACTAAGGAATGCCGGGACGGTCGGTCCCTGCTCAAGCCCGGAACCTTGCTGCATCTCGTTGCCAAGATGTCCGCGAAGATTCCCAGGCCTAGAGTGTGACACCAACACCAATTTCGGCGGTGTGCCTCCACCGAGGGAAGAAGATTCCCGATCTCGGTGATGGTTGTAGTATTCAGGTTGCCAAGGTGGCCCGCATGTTACCGCCAACGCCGAAATCTAGGATCATCATCCCCCTGCGGAGGCAACCCCCTTGTGTTGGTGTTGGTGCCCATGTCCAGGCCTCCAAAAGGCGTCCTTTCAGTGCGCAGGCACAGATGTGAGGCGTTCCAAGAGATGGCCGCGACTTCGAGGATCGACGGAGCTGTCGTCTCTGCCTCGGCGGGAGGCGGCGGAAGGCGGCGGAGGTAGAACGAGGCCGCCTCCGCCGGCGGAAGGCAGGCGGAAGGTGGCGGAAGTAAAAGATGCGCCCCCAAGAGATGAAAACGGGTTTGAGTTCAGGGTTTCCAAAATCGCTAATGTAGATGAAAAAAACCGGACCTCTGAGAGTATCCCCCCCCCCTCCCTCCCATGCGCCCTTTCGGTCCCCCGCGCCTCCATGAGGGGCTTGGGCGACTCCCAGGCCTGGCGACGCGTTATCCGCAGCGGGAAGCGGGCCTACGGGAAGACCCCTGCATGGGGAGGGAGGTCCCGCCCAGGAGAGGCCCGGTAAGGCCTGCATGTCTCGGACGCCAGGACGAGGATGAATCCGTTTCAGAGCGTTCCGGAACTGATGGGCCACGTTCCCACCACCATTACCATGTGCAGGACAGGGGAGATAGAGGCTGGGGAGGTCGTCTTCCTCCTCCTCCTCCTCCTCCTCCTCCTCCTCCTCCTCCTCCTCCTCCTCCTCCTCCTCCTCCCTCTCCTACCTATGGTAGTGGTGCTGGAGAGTCGGCCCATCAGGAACGCTCTCGGAGCGTTCCAGAACGCTCTGAGAAGGCCGCGGCGCCCAAGGCACCCTCCAGAGCCGCTGGATCTCGGAGATCCTCGATCTATGATCCTCACCCCCGAACTTGTCCTCGTCCTGGCCTCCTCGTCTTACCACGGGAAGGCCCCCGGGGAGCGAGGTCCCGCCCAGGAGAGGCTTAAGTCGGGCCTGTCCCTCTACAGGAGGAATCTCCAAAAATAGTCTAACAAAAAACTCCGGGGACGATTGTTTGAATGTTTTTTACATTTTGCCTAAAATCCGCCTCGTAGGAGGACAGGCCCGACTTACAGTCGGACCAGATCAATAGGTCCACCCTGCCGCATCAAGGGTACCTTTGTGTCCTGTGTCTCGCGACCCGTGCCTCCTGCGTTCCTATGGCAACGTGACCCTCGGAAGGGTCTTGTGTCCTCTTGCGTGTCCTGTCCGATTAAATCCGACTGCAAGGAGAGGCCTGGTAAAGCATGCGCTAGGGGAACAAAAAGTGACATAAACATAAAAGCTCGGAGGTCCGCGCGGATTCCACGGATCGGCGCTGGACCCCCCTCCCTGGCGCGCGGAGCGCGCCAGGGGCGGCGCCGGAGGCGCCGCCGAGGGGGCCCCAGCGCCGAACTGAGAAATCCGCGCGGACCTTCGAGTGTTTATGTTCATGCCGCTTCTTGTTCCCCTACCCTGACCTTCCAGAGTGCTGAAAAGTAGCACTCCAGACCTATAGATCTATCTGGACTGCCTCAAACCTCGACACGAATTCAGGACGTCGACGTCCTGGTGCTATCTTTTAGCCCTCCTGGAAGGTCAGGGTGTGCACGTCCCGCCTCAGGTTTTCATAGCTTGCCTCAGGTCCTCCTCAGATCTTCGACGGGCAATCGAAGTTCAACTTAGGGGAACAAAATGGGCCTCCTTCCTGATTCGGGGTTCCTCTGTAAGAACGGTTTTTTGAAGGCAGATCTGCCTTCAAAAAACCGTTCTTACAGAGTAGACCAGTCTTTCCTCATTTTTTGAAGGCAGATCTGCCTTCAAAAAAACATTTTTTGAAGGCAGATCTGCCTTCAAAAAACCGTTCTTACAGAGTCAGCGCCCCGACTGCCTGCACGCCCCGCAGGCTCCGCTGCCCGGCCTCCCTCGCCACGGGGGCGCGCCGCGGCGCGCGCCCCGCCGCAGCCGGCGCGGGTTCCGCCCCGGGGGGGCCGCGCGCGCCCCTCGCGTGGGGGCCCGCGCCTGCCCAGGGCGGCGCCGCCATGGCAGAGGCCGGCCGGGAGGTCGAGAGGGAGAGAAGCACACAGGCACAACGAATCGGCGACTTCCCCCCCAAAATGTAGGAGCATATGGAAGTGGGGGGGGGAAGACAAAAGCCCAGAAACTGCAGGAACATGTGGGGAATCTTTTTATTTGTGTGTGTGTGTTTGTTTGTGTGTCCCAGGGTCCCTTCAGAAGTGGCCAAACTCGAGATTGTTTTTTTTTTAGTTTAAGTCGGGCGTGTCCCCCTACAGGGGGATGTTCGACGAGAAATTGTACAAGTACCCCCAAAATAGTAAAAGAATAGTCCCAAAACAGTCTGGGGATTATTTGTTGAGTGTTTTATGTGCGATTACTTTTGGATTATATTTTTCATCGAAAATCCCCCTGTAGGGGGACATGCCCGACTTAATTTTCGGTTCGGGCGGATATCCCGGGTTAACGGGCTTGCCCCCCCCCCTCCCCCCCCCCCTAGGATCATCTAACCTTGCCTGTTGTGCAGGTCCGCGGGAGGGGGGGCGCGGGCATATCCAGGGCTGCCCACAGCGCGAGGGTAGGTTATGGGCCGGCCCTCTCCTCCCCGCCTCCCCAGGATAACCCGGATGATCGCCGATTCCCAAAAAACGGTCTCCTCAGAGGAGGACCCATACCTCTCTGCCCTCCCCTCTTTTTTCCATTTTGGGCCTCCTGGTCCTCCGGCGTCGCCACCGCTGGATTCGCCTCGAAATCCTGGTCAGAACGCGCCCCTGGAGAGGTCTGGGGAGCGGCGGGATCGGTACCTTTTAGTGCCCCCACAGACGGGAGCCTGGGGACTCCTCCTCCTCCTCCTCCTCCTCCTTCCTCCTCCTCCCTCCTCCTCCTCCTCCTCCTCCTCCTCCTCCTCCCCCCTCCCTCCCTCCCTCCCTCCCTCCCTCCCTCCCCCTCCCTCCCTCCCTCGGGGGCGGCCATGAGAGGGGGGTGATGATCAGGGGGTCGGGTGTCATGACCAGGGCCACCACGTCGCCCCGGACTTCGTGGCCCTCCCCCCCTCTTCTCGGCACGACCTCTTGCCTGAGCCCGTCTCCTCTCCATGCTTAGGCCCTGTGCTGCGATGCTGCTTGTACGTATCATTCCGCCTCTTCTTCCCTGCTGCTCCGCACCTGGCCCCCGCCGCGTCCGCGCACGTGCCTCTGGCCGTCTCTGCGCCGGCCGCCCTCTTGTTGCACGCCCCCGAGCTCTTGGGGCAATCTGGAGGGCCTTCGGGGCCGTCTCGGACGCGTTGAGAACACAGGAAGCGAAAGTGCTAAACTTGTAAGGTTTCCCACGGGTTCGGAGCGATGATTGCTTCTTGGGGCCATCGTGGGGTGTCCTCGTGGAGCACTCTTGGAGTGTCCTGGTGGCCTCTTGGACTGGCCCGCAGCCATCTTGGGCGTCTGGGAGCCGCCTGGGGACAGCAGGGGGGGGTTGTGGCTCAAGCCGCGACGGCTTAACAAGTTTTACTGTCCAAGTTTGTGTTCAGAATCCCGGTCGGCCTCGCGCGGTGTGAGCCGAGCATTTCGATCTGCAGAGGGTGTTCAAAGCACGTGCGCTCGAGCCCTGCTGACCGGAGTGGAAACATGGCCGAGGGGCCTGCGAGGGCCAGGAGCAGGCGGGCCCCCGAAGGGGCCCGCGCGCTTGCGGCCGCAGATTGTGCGTCTCCCATGGCGGGCGGGCTCCTGCGGGGGCCCACGCGCCTGCGGGCTTCCCTTCTCCCCACCCTCGCCACCCTCTGGCCTCTCGGCCTTTGGGGGGGGTCCCAGCTGTCGGCCGTCCGACCCGCCACCCCTCGAAAATGAGCTGTGGCGCGCGCCGCCCCCGCGGACCCCCGTGGCCGGGGCTCTCCTCCCGGCGCTCCGCGCGCGGGCCCCCCGGCCCCCCCCCCGCGCCCGCTCCCCGCGGCCCGCCTCCTGTTTGCCGGCCTCGAGCGTATCCCCATGCCTAAGATTGGCACGCCACAAGGCGACGACAGTCTTAGGGATGCGCCCTCAAAAAGATAAAGGGAATCCCTAAAAGGCGATGACAGTCTTAGGGATGCGCCCTCAAAAAGATGAAGGGAATCCCTAGGATTGGCATCGTGATGAGGAGGTGCCCAGCACAGGGGTAGGGATCTGTTCCAGGCTGGCAATCTGTGGCGACGGGCCCCCTGCCCGCAGCTCGGGGTCGCCTCGCCGACCTCTACCTAGTGGAGCAAAACGTGGCATGAACAGAAACACTCGGAGGTCCCACTGACCGATTGCTCTAACGCTTCTTATGTTCTGAACTGCCATGTGTTATTGTCTGCTCTGGTTGGCCGAACACCGGAGAATGGAAAACGGACAAAAACGCGGTCAGCGCTTTAACATCAACGAAGTCTGGAGTGAGCATCGTTTAAGATTGACCCCCCTAGATGGGTATGTGGGCCGTTTCCCTCGGGTTTCGAGGGGTCTATCCCCAAGTGGGGTGCCGACAACTGGTGGGGCTCTGGATGGGGAGGGGGAGGGGGGGATGGGGGGTAGGTAGGGGAACAAGAAGTGGCATGAACATAAAAACTCGGAGGTCCGCGTGGATTTCTCGGATCGGCGCTGGGGCCCCCCCAGCGGCACCTCCGGCGCCGCCCCTGGCGCGCTCCGCGCGCCAGGGAGGGGGGTCCAGCGCCGATCCGAGAAATCCGCGCGGACCTCCGAGTTTTTTTTATGTTCATGCCACTTTTTGTTCCCCTATCTACCCCCATCCCATCGCCATCCCCATCCAGAGCCCCACCAGTTGTCAGCACCCCAGTTGGGGATAGACCCTTCGAAACCCGAGGGAAACGGCCCACATACCCATCTAGGGGGGTAAATCGGCCAGTGGGACCAAGGCCACGCCTATGGGGCTAGGGGTCGGTTAAACGATGCTCACTCCAGACTTCGTTGATGTTAAAGCGCTGGCCGCGTTTTTGTCCGTTTTCCATTCTCCAGTGTTCGGCCAACAAGAACAGACCATAACACATGGCAGTTCAGAACATACGAAGAAGTTTTATAGCAAAACGGAATTGAATTCAAAACGTCGCGAACGAGAATCCCCAAACAGAAAAACGATTGACCCCCAAACCGAAAAAAACGTAGATCTCGACCCCAAACAAAAACGCCTACAGTGTTTTAAAGATCATCTGAACCCTTGGAGGCAGTTATCGAGGAGAAGCGCCAGGATGGAAACGTCACGACTCACGGCATCGGAGGCCTGTGAGATTAGGCAAACATCTCACATGCCGCGCCCCCCCGGGGCCAGGGGGTCCGTTGGCTTGAGCAGAGACGCTCTCTCGGGGTCCGTCCGCTTCGTCCCGGCGCTGGGCCTCGCACCTCTTGCCTGACCAGTCGCAATTCCCCCCTTCAGCACGCCGAGTGAGAGGAGGTGATTGAGCAGCAACGAAACTGGCGGGCTGGTGTTAAGGAAGCAGCAGGAGGAGTAGAAGGGGGCGAGGAGGAGGAGGAGGAGGAGGAGGAGGAGGAGGAGGAGGAGGAGGAGGAGGAGGAGGAGGAGGAGGAGGGGGAGGGGAGGAGGAGGGAGGAGGAGGAGGAGGGAGGAGGAGGAGGAGGAGGAGGAGGAGGAGGAGGAGGAGGAGGAGGAGGAGGAGGGGAGGAGGAGGAGGAGGAGGAGGAGGAGGAGGAGGAGGAGGAGGAGGAGGAGGGAGGAGGGGGGAGGAGGAGGAGGAGGAGGAGGAGGAGGAGGAGGAGGAGGAGGAGGAGGAGGAGGAGGAGGAGGAGGAGGAGGAGGAGGAGGAGGAGGAGGAGGAGGAGGAGGAGGAGGAGGGGAGGAGGAGGAGGAGAGGAGGAGGAGGAGAGAGGAGGAGGAGGAGGAGGAGGAGGAGGAGGCGAAGATGGATGAGGAGGAGGAGAAGGGGAAGGAGGAGAAGATGAAAGAAGAATAAGGAGGAAGGAGGAGGAGTAGGAGAGGGAGGAGGAGGAGGAGGAGGAGGAGGAGGAGGAGGAGGAGGAGGAGGAGGGAACGAGGAGGAGAGGGAGGAGGAGGAGGAGGAGAGAGGAGGAGGAGGAGGAGGAGGAGGAGGAGGAGGAGGAGAGAACGGGGGATTGTGGAGCCCCGGGGTTGAAGTCGCGCCCGCGAGGCTTTCGCACTGGATTCGCGCGTGCGTCTTTCAGTGGTGTGCGACCTGTGGCGTCCTCCTCTCCTTCCTCCTCCCCCTACTCTTCCCCCTCCCTCCTCCTCCCCCCTCCCCCTTCCTCCTCCTACTTTTTGTGTTTTTGTTTTGGTTCTTTCTTCACCCCCCCCCCCCAACGAAGAAAACAAAAAAAACACGAATCATGTATCTATTTGTTGGGTCCGATTACGCCCCTGCTTCGCCGCGTACCCCGCGAGCCCACAAACGTGGCGACGGCTGCCCAGTTCGCCTCCCCCCGCGGAGCTGCGAGGTCCAGCCTGGGCTTGTTTTCTCCCCTACTCGGCGCCGTGCCTCCCCGCGGTGCCTCCCAGGAGCCCACTAGCGCGGCGAGCGTTGGCACGGTTCGCGGCCCACCAGGGAGCGGCCCGTCTGTTCCCTCACTCCGTGCGTGCCCCCCAGGAGCCCACGAGAGTGGCGACGGTTGCCAGCTCGCAGCCCCCCCAGGAAGTTGAACGATCCAGCCTGGGTCCGTTAACTCCCCCACTCCGCCGTGCGTGCCTCCCAGGAGCCCACGAGAGTGGCGACGGTTGCCAGCTCGCAGCCCCCCGGGGAGCTGAAAGATCTAGCCTGGGTCCGTCGACTCCCCCACTCCGCCGCGCGTGCCTCCCAGGAGCCCACGAAAGTGGCGACAATTGCCAGTTCGCAGCCCCCCAGGGAGCTGAAAGATCCAGTCTGGGTCCGTTTACTCCCCTACTCCGCCGTGCGTGCCTCCCAGGAGCCCACGCGAATGGCGACGGTTGCCAGTGCGCAGCCCCCCAGGGAGCTGAAAGATC